CTGGGTTTGCAATCAAACGACTGGAAAGATAAAAAGTTGGCAAGCTGCTTTCTTCATTAGAGAACACAGCTCTCAAGTGCTCAAGTGCCAGCCTATTAGCTGAATTATTCAACAGAAAAAAAAAACATGACTAAAAAAAGAAAAAAAAAACACAAAAAGAGCAGGGAGGAAAGGGAAGCTTATTGACTTTGGTGCTACTTGTGAAGCTTGGCTGCTTGAAACTCAATTGTGAGAGGAAACACAGCTAAAGAACTCAGAGAAAGCCAATTGGCTGCATGAAAGTAAACAGAATCTGGCATTCATATTTTAGATATTTTATTGTATTGTTACAATCTTTGAATTGATAACGGAGGAGCCCAAGTGGGGACAACTTCTAAAACTAGAATTTAAAGAAACTGTTTATGTGCAACTTGTGACTAACTACCAGTGCTAGACACTTCTACGTGCAGCCAAATTCTTGCAGCATGCAACCAACTCACCATGCTGATACAAAGCCTTGGATCAGATCAAAAACTCTAATGGGAAGGTCAGATTTGTCTCGCTTCTGCTATCTACTAACCTGAAAAGCAGAATAGAAAATGTTTAATTATGGCAAAAGGTAAGCAGAGTGGTCAAAATCTTGAGAACTCCATATGCTGGGGATCTGCACATGGATGGGCAAAAACCAGGGTCTGAATCCCTCACTAGACAAGTCACAACACAGAGCAGACTACAGAGGAAAGCACGGGCATATCTCCATTTTCCAAAACCAATACGAACAAAAGGAAGGAAAACATTATTTGAAGTGTTTAGAAACAGGAACCAAATGATTTATATAACAATTGGTATGCAAAAGAAATATGGATTAATCAAAGTATTTTTGGCTCCACCTCAAAATCGTAAGAGAAAACACACACACACCCCTCTACTTTTTGTTAGAGCTATGGATTTCTTCTGCTGAAGAAGGGACTGCAAGTTTTATGAACCTTTATAAGCTACAGAGATCTGCATATTTTAATTGTCACAAGAAGATAAAAGCCTAAATCTGGAGATTCAGGAAACAAGTCCTTTAAGCCCTGGGCAGCCTGGAGGGCCAGTATGGATTACACAGCAGACTGTCCCCCATTCATTAATCCCCAGACAAGTTCCTTCCTCCTACCCAGAAATACCACCCAAATCTCTTTTGTGTTTTCCCCATGGAGAGATGGGGAAGAGATGGGCTATATATGTGAAACAACATCAGTGATGTTGGTCCTTAAGAGAGTTTTGCACAGAAGTCAAGAGTTTTTATGCTGCGGAAGAGGAGAACAAGTAAGGTGAAAGCAAAAGCAAGAGAATTCATCAAGCAATTAAACCATTTTACTTGGCGAGCCAGGCAGAAAGAGAAGTCACTGAGCCATCGCTTACAAGAGGATCCGAAAATCACAGACAGAATGCTGGGAACCTTAGTAATATAACAGGGTTGAAATTTAATAGCTGAGAAATGTGGCTAGGGAGCAATTAGAATTTTTGCTGCAAGAGGGAGGACTTGACCTCCTGTCTCCTGTTCCCAGAGGAGAGGAAAAGATGGGTTGAGCAGAGACCAGTTACTGGTTGCAAATACCCAAATAGGAGAGCCATCGATATAGTGAGGTGAGCTGTTCCTGGTGGACTATGGAAGCATTAGTGACCATGTGTAAGTCACCAGCTGAACGTAGTGGACACAGCTGGAGTCAGAATGGGCAACTTCTCCCATCCAAAGGGTTCAGGGCACACAGAGCCTGGGAAAGGCTGGAATGACACAGGATGATGTTCAGAAGATGGCAGAGCTCTATATTACTTTATATACTCTGTACTTTATGCTGAGATAAAGTAAGCACTTCCAATGCTTTCATCACCTTCAGCTCTGCAAAGAGCTTGAGGGAAGCTCTGAGACACAAGTCGAATGGACCAGTTCTTCCTTTTGGAGCAGCTCCAGCGCCAACTAAAGTCTTCTCCATAAACCCCCTACATTCATTGTCCCTTGGAATAACATTTATGGAGGGGAAGCCCATCCCCCAAAAAGAAAATATTAACATGACAGTGCTAGGTGTACATTGCAAAGCACTGTTTTCTTATCCAGGTTTGTTAGCAATGAGGGACAGCAACAGAAAACTCATCATCCAATTGATGAGTTAGAAGGGATCCATCAAAGCAACTTCACTGTCTTTCAGCTGCTGCACGAGTGAGTTCTCACATCCTCAGCATCACAGACATTTGACTGGGTGCAATACCTACCTTATTAAAAGTATCTAATTCCAGCTAATCTCCTCAAATTAATCTAAAGACAAAACATTCACTTTAGGACTTTCTGCCATCAGGAGGAGGAATTTGTGGCTCAGTGACATCTCCCTCCAGACCTGCAGCAGCTTTATCACAGAAAAAAAGTCAACAAAACATCACCACTGCTTTCAAACCCCTTTTGTTTTCTTCTGAAGTAAGTGCATTTCTGTACGTGGGGCACTTGGAAGGCAGCAGCTCAATCCGGCCGGGACAGCCAACCCCACACACCACGTGGGAACGGCAGGAAGCAGGGCAAGAAGGAACCAGGGAACATTTCCTCCGGGCTGCCAGGCCTCTCGGTTACCATGGCAGTCTGTTTCCATGGAAGCCCAATTTGCAGCCTGTTACTGCCACGAGAGTGGCCCAAAGAAGATTAGCAGTTTTTGAAAATTAACCAGGCTGCTCTCTACCTTAACAGCCGGCCCCCCCACAAGCAGCCTCCTCTTTCCATCTCTGATAAAGGATTCAATAAACACGCGAGGAGGGAGGAGAGCAAAAGAAAATGCCAAACAATGGAAAAAAAAAACAGTAGCTTCCTTTTATGCAACCAACAACACAAAAAGGCTTCTAAAATGCATAGGCAAGCACAGGGAGGTCAGTAAAATAACCCTGCAGGGCATTCCGTGCCAGAAGGATCCTAACAGGATACCACAGACTAAGGCTATTTACTTGCTATTTGTTTTAAACTAATCTCCTTCATTACAGCTAATGCAACACCCACCCCACTTCTTTTTCCTTTTCTTTCTTCCTCTCCAGGAAAAGGAGGAAAAGGGGCAGCGAGTACTTCTCTAAGGCACTTTTTTAGCAATATTAAAGACCAGTTCAGCAGCTTTGTTGCTTTTCTTGCCTTGAATGCTTCAAGGTCACTGTTTGCCTCATCTCTCCACCTCCCAAAAGTGTTCTCTGAAGCCCCTTTCATTTTTCTTAAACCACACAGCCCACAAAAATAGCTGAAATCATGTGGTGCAGACATTCAGCCCCTTTTAAAAGGGAAGTGGTATAATTCAGCAATGAAAAGGAGTTATGCTCTATGCCCTGTTCTATAACACAAGTAAAGGTGACAACTGCAAACCTAGTATTTCAGAAGAACAGACCATTCAGTGTCTGATTTTTGTGACTTCCATGTAGAAACATGAAACAAGTGGTTTTGCCCTCTGACATGCAAAAGTGTCGTGACGAGACTACTGAATGACACAACTCCAAGGACACAGAGCATTTATAAAGAAGACTGAGAGATAAAGATGAAATTGGCAGGAGGCACCTGTAATACTAGAGAGTTTAAATTAGCTAAACCCAACTTCTCATTTTGAGGCAAACAAAGACCTAAAATTTACACTAAAATCAGCCCTTAACATCACTTACTTCAACCAGACTGCTGCCACTACAGCTCTTAGTGGGTGAAAGAGGAATCAAAAAAAGCAGGTGGTTCCAAATCACAGTTCAAACACAAGCACCAAAAACTGTGAGAACGTTTCCTTTCAAGTGAAGATAAATACCAATAAAAGCTTACCTACACCTGACAGTTGGTTTAAATCAAATCCCTTCTGTGCCTGGGGACATTTTTCTCATTTCCTAACATTGCACAGGTCTCACAGATACACGTACACTGTTGGACAGCCTGCAGCCTTCCTGCTACCATCTGCTGTCTTTCCTTTCTGCATGTTTGGAAATCAGCTGTTTTAAAATAAAAAGACAAAGGAAAAGCATGGTTAAATTCTAGCTGTTCATCTTAGCTTCACGTCCTGAGCAGATGAGCTTACAAGTACCTAGCAGTGGAGAGCAAGGACGCTGCAACACGAGTCTCACATGGAGGTGGCTGCTGGCAGCATCATCAAGGCAGCTGAGAGCACTGTAAGAGCTGGACAGGGCTGTGATCCATCCATTCAAGGACCTTGTAGAAACCATCAGGAAAAGTTTAACCATTTAGTGCAAGTCCTGCTGCACTTCCTCTATTTTACACACCAGAGAGTGAACTGCCTGTCCAGGAGAGGTCACCCAGGAACAGAGTGACTTTGGTCACTGTTCACACCAACCTGCTCTCTGGGTCTACCTTTCCCACCAGGGGCAGCAGCTGCAGAGAGGAGCCCCCAAGGGACCTGTCAGCATTAACCAAATTTACCCAACTCCATCATTAAGTAGCCCTGTTTCACGTTGCTGCTGGCACAAGAAGCTCTGGAATCCGACAGGCTTCAGGGCTTCATGAGAGTGGAATATTCTGCGCTGCATCACTGCTCCTGGTCAAGCCGCAGGACCGTTGCTTCCTTCACAAATCAAAGGGAAAAAACATGAAATGTGGTTAAACAACCTCTCACCAAGGTCAAAAACAACCACAGGATCCCTTCCAGGCTTCTTGACTCTATCAAAGCAAGATTATGATATGAATACACAGAGATCACCAGAGCTCCAGGAACCTGATAAAGGAATACAGCCATGGTGAGCAGGGTGAGTTTTCAGAGCTAAACCCAATGTCATAAATAAGCAGGTATTTCTTGATTTTTCAAATTAACCCAAAATCATAAACAACACCACCAAAAAAAACACACAGAATTGAGTGCATTAGCTCTATAACTTAAGACGTTTTAATAAAAACAAAGGCAAGTACATTTCATAATCTGTCCACCGGCACAACGTATAAAATACTTTAAATAAGAACTTTAATATTAATCACAAAATACAGCATGTGGTATAAAAATATTCATAGGCGCACTGTTAAAAGACACTGTAAAACCGCTCTCTATAGCCATGCACAGACATTCAGCTTTGACTGCTCCATTTCCAACTGCTTCTTGGATCAGCTGCATCGCTCCTTCGCACGCTGCGCGGGAGGGTTTGTGCTGGCACCTGGAGGCCTCCTCCCTCTCCCCACCTTGCACACTACATCTAGGCAAAGGTCTTCAGAAATGGCTGGAAAGTTTAAGGTGCATCATGCTGGGCACCTCAGTGGCCCAGTTTTCACAGCTTATATTTCAGAAAGTGCTCAACATTCACATCCTTTTCTGCAGACACCTCACTCTGTTCATCCAAAAATCTTCAGCCATTCGCTTTTTCAAATTACTCCTGAGCTCCCGAGCATCACAGAACTAAAACTGTAATCTGAATTCTAGCTATCTGGCCTGATTCACTGCAGGAGGCAGAATACCACAGCTGCAGCACCACTTATTCACAAATGTACCTTTGCATTTGGAAATCCTGAATTATGCACACATCGAAATTCTCTGTAGCCTGTCCATTCACTTTAACAACTCCAGATAATGCATACAGAAGAACTTCAGTGATGAGTTTCAAGGCAGGAAGGTAAAACTGACGATAGCGTTAATATGGAAAAACAGATACTAAACAAACTCATCTGTTATACTGCTGCATCAGATTTAAAATGTAACTATAAAAGGGGACACACTGGACTGAAAAATGAAGATATGGCACACAGTGTAGTTGGAACAAAATGTCAAAGAAATAATACCTTCCTCCAGCTTTTCTCCCACAATTTTGATGCATAAAGCATTTACAGGCAAGAAAGAAAAAGGCAAGCCAGTTCCCTCCATCTCTACAAGCCTGATAAATGCTTGCACCTTTACATTATCATCTACATAAAATGTAATCCCAATAAAGGTAATTGTCACCGATTCACCCAGTCATGAGCTCCGTTTCCTGAGTCTACAAAAACGAAGGGACATCGCTGGTTGGAAACAGTCCCCGCTGCTGACACTAGCAGCAGCACCTTGTAAGAGTCACCATCAAGGAGAGCAGTCACAATACGGAGCCTTGACACTTTGCCAGGCAATGCAAGAAAAGCATTTGTTCCAATGCTTTCAAGTTTGCGTTTTAAAGTGTGCTCTTTTAAGAGGAAAATAAGGAAAGCTTAGAGATTTACCACCTCAGATAACTCAGCAACAAACACATCTTTTCTAGTTTAAAAAGAGCAGTTACATTATCTTAATGCACCAAATTTGACAGGCAAAAAGCATTCCCATAAAAAGTTATCCCCTTAAAGTTATTAGATGCTTCATAAAAGCAAGCTTCTAAATCAAGAGTCAGAAGCAGAGCAGCTTTGATTGGCGCTGAAATCCAAATATGAAAACAGGCTGATCTTTCCAATCCATAGCACGAACGAGGGTTTAAATGGCTTTATGGGGCTGGAAGTCACTGTCTTTGGTGGCCTGTGTCATCGCTCTGCGCTTGGCGAGGTGGGATTTGGATGGAGGAGAAAGCTTCATGGAGCACACGGCGTGGGCAACGTCCTCCTGCTCTGCGTGCAGCTCGCTCTCGTGCTGAGACAGCTGGCGGTTCAGGGCTATCGCCTCGGCGGCAAAAAGCGTCAGGTCCTTGGTGCTGCTGTTCCTTTGGGGGACAAGCAGAAAGCACTTACAACACATACAGAAGCCTCTTCACCCAAGCAAAGGTACTTTTTTTTATATATATCTACTGCACACACGTATTTTATATATCTACAGAGATATGCGGATAGATAAGCAGTTTGTTTTATTACTTCTTTGGGAACATTGACACAGCAGGCAATATGGTCACTTAATATCTGCGCCTCTTCATTGCCAGTGAGATACAAAGGTCCTCTAGGATTTCAGAAACAACCAAATGTTGTTGTTCTCTCCTCATTCTGCCAAGCACTCCCCACACAAGCCTGAGTGAGCCCCCTGGGAGGCCACGCTCTAGGGTGCACGTGTCAGAGCTGGGGGAGTGTGGAGCAACACTGTCCAACTTAAGGAAACTGCAAACCCAGTATAATTGCACATCTGACTTAGGGAAACGCATTGCTGAGGGGAGGAAGAACCTGGAATCACCAGTGGCAGCAGCAGAGAGATGTGTGACTCAGGCTCTCTGGCACACAGAATCTGCCATCAGATCACTTTAAATGAAGCTTGCCTGAGTTATCATTTAAATTTATACTGTGATCACTGCCAACTTCAAAGGGACTGCGAGGCGAGTCTGTGTGCATGATCATTATTCACCCATTAGAACGCAACCTCTGGACTTGCCTTTATGCCTTTTTTACCCTCCTGGGCAGCCCATGGCCAAGGCCATCATTATTTCCTGTTTAAAATTAGCACTACACCACAGGAATCCTCTCCAATACCTTTCCCATAAACAAGAAAGATTAGATCACAACGGAAGAAAAAAAAAAAGACCACAGAGCTTCAGCATTTCTAATATTAACAAAACAAATGCAGTCATTTTTGCAAAGTTTCTCTCCCAGGTATTTTATCCCTCGATTTATGTTTCACCGTCTCCCCATTCCTTTGGTAACAGTTCACAGCCAAGTTTACAGACATTAAAAGGCTACCTTTGAAGAACCTGCGGTGTAGGTAACCCTCTTTCAGGAGCCTGCTAAAAGAGGGAGTTAAGAAAGTTAGTCGAGGACCAATTTTTTTTCAAGAGAATGTTTTAAAACAAAAGCAAACACACACAACAGGTGACTCCCCTAGATGTTCACAGCTAGTGGACACTGCAGGCACCTTGGCTTTAGAAATCGGTGTTGACAGTTCTCAATCCCTCCTTCCTCTCCACCAGGAGATAACCCCAGCACTGCAGCAGCTTGCAAATATAAGATTAAAGCTGGAAAAGCTCTCCAGGGAGTCCATCTACGCTTGCACGAACTAGGAACTAAAACTGAAGATCACACTGCTCTTCTTTCAATGCTACAGCTGCAAGCATTCTACATGACTGTATTAAGGAAGAACATAATAATTTGTGTATTGCAGTGCTTGGTATGCACAAGAAAGCTGTTTAAGTACACAAACCAGTAATGCAACAATGAAATATTAAGAGCTGACAGATTCTTCCAAAAGTTAACCACACAGTTTCATTAAAAATGAAGCTAATGGATATCATTTAATTTACCTTGATATATTGCATCTTTTAATGCTCTCTAAATGTTTAGAGAGAGGGCGCAGCTTGTTTTATGACTCAGAGGAATAAATGTCAAAAAAAAATAAAGCGTAATACATACTCCTTGAACCCACGAATGCTGCAAAACCTGGGCAGCACTAAGTCGTTGTTTGGCATCACGCACCAGCAGCCTTGAGATGAGATCTTTGGCATCAGAGGATATATGTGCCCAGTCCTTGTCAGGAAACTCATATTTGCCTTCCTGAATGCTCTCAAAGAGCTTGTTCTAGTGAAAGAAAAAATATTTTAAGTAGCAACTGGAAGACAACCAGAAGACTTCTCCATGTCAGACAGGTCTAAACCTTTTCAGATGGAATCCTTCTCATCCAATTTTAATCATCTAACAGCACAGCTGAAACCATCCAGTCTCCTCATGGAGCCAATAGTGTGTGACAGGCAGCTCCACAGCAGTGCATGAGATGATAGATGCGATAAATCTTCTGCTGACAACACCCCCCTTCTCTCCAGCAACGATGAAGACAACATGTCCAGCTTTTAGGAAGGGAAAATACACGCCCTGCATGGGGACTCAGAGTGCTGAGCTTTTAACTGAGGAGCTGTGATAATTACCATAAACCAGAACAAGAATCACCAAGCAGGGATCAGGAGGAAACTCCAAGATCTCACATTTGGAGGAGAAAGAGATAGTTGTCAAATCTTAAATTAAAAGGCGGTATTATCACTCCTGCTTCTCACTGACAGCTTTTTTTCCTGGATAACTAGTCAGATTGGACACACAGCTGCCCACAGCCTTACAGCACGTCTCACATGCTCCAAGTCCACAGGGGAAAGGGTAGCTCCCAAGTACCCCCCAGATGGTGCATTCACCTGGCAAATTATGCAGACTTCTCCTCTGTCCCAGCCACAGTCTGTGCCACAGTTGCCCACAAAAGGGGGGTAACCACTGAGCATGATGTACAGAATCACTCCCAGGCTCCAAAGGTCGCAGCGCTTATCATAGAACGTGGCCTCCTCCGTGAAGACCTCAACCACTTCGGGTGCCATGTACTCTGCAGACCCACACTAGGAGACCAAATTCAAGCATGTTTTCAAAAGAAGGGCTGAATCAGGGCTCGAGATCTTTATCATTCTGCTCTCTGCTAACAGTAGGCTGTCTAGCCTGTAAAGCACAACTGGGCATCGGGGACTACTGAAGTTTAATATTGGCATTGACTGCAGTCCTTACTTTGTTAAGGCAAATCACAACTGCCACAACCCTCTGTAGTTAAACGGAGCTGTCAAGAGCTTTGCAGTGTTTTGTGAGCCTACTGCACAAGAAAATATTATTAGCTACACATTTCGGGAGGGAGGACTGCAGAGGTCTTAGAGAAGGGGAGAGAGTTCCTGCTGTTCTTCAGCAGGACAGTAAGCTGCTCCATACAAATCTATGATCAACAAGGTCAGAATACTCATTTATAAATATATTTATATATTAAAAAAGAAAACCTTTATCCAAAGTTTTTTTTCATAAACAAACATATCAACGGAAGTGATTTCTAGAAAAAAACTTCTGCAAAATTGGCAGATTTGTCTTTCACAGTAACTCCAAAATGGGAGAAATGGACACAAAACTGAGATTCAAACTTGGTCTATAAACCGAACAAACAAACAAAAAACTCACAAAACCCCCTAGAAAGTCTCCTTATTTGACAGGATAAGAGACAAACAGAATCAGTGCATTACTCTCTGGTCAAAACGAGAATTAACATGGTCAGTTCTCGTGTCTTTGTATATTCATTCTACAAGAGAAAAACACACACATAGCACCCCTGCTTCAAATCATCTATTCACTATTGAATGTGGTAACAAATAAGCCCTTTGAAAGCTGTCTTGTGGAGAGGTGTAAAAATATTTTACAGGAGAAGAGGAAAAGCAAGAAGTCACAACAGGCCTCTTACCGGCGTGGTTAGTTCTGGAGTAGTTATTGGAGTACACGCACTGTTCAACTTCACCCCACTACCGAGATCAAAATCACATATTTTTACTGGTGATATCTGAAAATAAGAATAAAATATCACAGAATATTAAGAGGTCCAGAGAACAGGGATTATTGATATATATACATACACATGTATATGAGCACCATATGGAAAACCAATATAGAATATGAGTTATTCTATGAGCAATAAGACTAGTGAAATGTCATCTCCTACAGGTTTGTTCCACTCCTTGCCTATGCCTCCCCTACTAAAACTGCTCCTGTGTCCTGAGTATCTGACCTTGCTGTATTCATTATTCGTTAGTTCGACAAGTGCCAGCACAGACCAGGGCAAACTGGGAACCATCGATGAGGTGCTTGCTTAGATTGTAAGCATCTCCTCTCCACCTGGGAGCTGCATCAGAACAGATGAGATGCTAAGGTGTAATCATCTTACCTTCTCTATGGAACTTGGCTTTTTGGCCCTAGCCAGATGTTCGTGTTCTTACAGCTCTCAGAATTTAGTCTCACCTAGGCGTCAGTTCTGTTAAGCTCAGCTGAAGGTGGCCAGTGGGTTCACAAGGTTTTAAGAGGAGATCTGAGAGTGTGTGAGGACTGTCTTTGGAAACCAGGCTAAAGGACACACTTCAGAAGGTTAAGAGAACAGAGCAGTAGCACCTTTTCTGGAGATTCACACAAGATGTTTTCAGGCTTCAGGTCTCTGTGAGCAATACCTAAACAAGGGGAAAAATGCTTGTTAGAGAAGATTTGCTCCTGTTATATTGCACATTCCTTCCCTTTTAGAAAGTGATCTGGAGTAAAGAGTTAACAGCCAGAACAAGAAGAAAGAAGCACCCCCAAAGGGCTCTTCTCATTGAACTGCTGCCAGAACAAGCAGCCCTGACATGGAACCCAAAATATCTGTCTGTGCAATTTGCATACAAAGCTGAGCCTACACTGTCACAACAGCTCTTCAAATGCATTAATATGCAGTTTCTGGAAACCCTCCATTTAATATGAACACACTTAGTACCAAGGCAGAAGGTGAGAAGCAAAAATACCCAATCAAGTGAGCAACTTGGCTGCAATCTAACTGAACTCTAGCCTTGCTTTTGTTTCTAGCACATTTGCCGCTACAGCATATTATGAGAAAGAAGATATCCCAATCTGCAGATAAGGGAGTTTTCTAAGCTCTTTTCTTCAGCGCAAACAACAAGACGTGACTTAAAACACAGGACTGCTCACTCCAGTGACCAAAAGCAATCGTAACCTCCATGATGATGCAGTTTTCATGCATAAGCAACACAAAGGTGAAACACAGCTAAGGGATCCATCAGGATGGCATGTGATGACACTTGCAGGAACCTTGACAAACCACCCAACACTTGTCTCTGACTTGTGATGTGAAACAAGGGATTTCTTTTTAAAAACTATATCTTGAATTCAAATTCCCAATTACCTAACACTGTATTTCATCTTGCAGTCACACACAGTGCTGAGAAAACAGCTCCCTTTATTGCTAATAACTCACTGGAGGAATGCTTAAAGTACACATATGCCAAGCGGGTGTAAGGCAGTACTGCCATCGAGCTGACTTTTAAACTACCCCTGGCAAAAGAATTAGCTGTCCTCATTCCAATTTTTATTTTTGAAAGCATCTAGTTATAGCACCATCACTGTTAAGTTGCTCAATAAAACTGCTTTAATTTCCTGTTCAGTGTTTTGTATGCAACTTACTAATTATTTTAACGTCACACAGAAGACCCATAAAAAGAACAAGAAACCAAAGGGGATGCTGCTGCAGCCGGTGCTGTGAACTGTTGTTCACAGCAAATATCACAAGAAAGATGCTCAATTGCTGCTCTGAAGCCATTTAAATAAATCACTCCCCTTTTGCTTGGGGAAAGGAGATTTAAAACTAAAGGTTGAGAGATCACTAGAGAAAAATGTGGAATGTGCTGAAATGTGTTCCCAAGGCTTCCAACTGTTAAGCGACCTACTACAGCAAAGCACCCTGAATATCTATTTCCCCACAGCTTCCTCCTCTTTATTCTCTCCATAACTCAAGGTCAAAGTCTTCTAAACAGAGGAATCCACTACAGAGTCTCTGCAGGTCTGAAGCTTGCAGGTCATCACACAGCCTGCCTATTAAGGTTATTAAATCTTAATCCAAGCTAACTTTGCTTCCACATCCAAATGAACTTCTGAAATCACAGTCGCAGCAAATAACAAGATTACTCAGCTTTGTCACTTCTTTATTCCTTATGCATTATGCTTTTTTTTTTTTTTTTTTCTCTTTAAAAAAACAGGCTCAGTCTACCAAGGTACAAATACTGTTAATTCCAACTCCACAAAGACACATGCAGTCCTGTGACTGAAATAAAGTGTTTAATTGTAGACTTTCTGTGGGGCCAATGTGTGTCAGCAACACTGAGAGCTAACCAGGATCTGTAAAATCTGGCTAATCAAAATAATCAGAAAATGTCTGCAGAAAATAAGTTCATCACAATAAAACAATAGTAATAATAAGCATATCCTCCAGCCATGTGCCATTCTACTCAAAATGGTCACTGACACAAAAGCACACATTAGCTAAAGCTGCTTCATCTATGCAGAACCAGGTAACTTTGACAGAGGGAGGTTCTGAATGCATCAATCACATACTGCAGAATGGCCAAAACACAAAGATGTTTTGAAATAGAACAAGGTGCTGCCTCCAAGCAGGAAAAGAAGCAGGAAGACATTGCAAAGGAAAAGGACTTGCTGCAAATAGAAGTGTTTTTAAACCTAGAAGAATCTAATGAAATGAGGCCGCCTTCATGCAAGGACTAGGGTTCACCTGTAGGTCTCCAGCTCAACACTGGGACCCTGCTCCTGTGAACACAGAGCTCTTGTAACTAGCAGAAACTCTGGGTAAATAAGGCAGATAACCTCTGCACAACTGAAGGAAGAGGAAATTACTGAAAAACTGAAGGAAGAGGAAATTAAAAGGGTGGGGAGGAGAAGGAAAAACAGCTCCCATTTGAGTAACCTTTACAGAGTAGCTTAGGTAACAAGAAAAAGCAAACAGATTCAACCCCAATGTTATTTCTCTCTGGCTGCTAGTTAAAATTTAATTTTCTCAAAAGAGAAAATAAAATATTTACCATCTTAACACATCCGATTAACACTATCACATTACTATCGAAAAAGCATTACAGAAAAAGAAAAAAATAAATAATAAAAAATCAGTCATCTCACTTCACTGGAAATAAAAATGCTAGCAAAATTAAAGTTGACTTCTGACTATTTACAAATAAATTATGCTTCATATCTCAAACATAGTGTCAACTAGAGATGGAGGACACCTTCTCTTACCTTTTGTATGAAGAAAATCCAGAGCAGAGGCAATATCTCTCACCACTTTGCTTGCTTCTCGTTCATTAAATTGCTTTCGCTTTTGTATCTGGGCCAAGATTGAACCTGTAATAGTAGATGAACAAAAAAAGTCTTAATATAAATATTAAATAGAAATATATAAATATAGCATTTAAAACAAATGCTGCCTGAGCTAAGAAATCACAGTGCTTCAAAACCCATATTCTTAAATAAAAATATTTCAGAAATAGTAAACAAATTCAGAAATTCAAATCAAATTTTCAGCTTTCAGAAAATAATGAAGGATTTGTACCAGGTATTATGAAATCATATAAAAAATAAAAGAAACAACTAAGTTTTTCACAGCATGCATCTTCTGGTCACTAAACAGGAAATGATAAACAACAAGGTACAAATGAGCAGCTTGGACAGATTATTTTCAAACAAATTGCAGTATTCTAGCTTAAACAAATCTTACAAGGCAATCATTTAACAGTGCCCTTGCGTCTGACTACTGCCCTGTATCCCACGCAATGCAAAGAACAGAGACTTGTGGTGCTGCTAGTAAAATTCACACCTCGTCTAAGGCTGGACAGAGCCCTGGAACAGCAGCCTCTTCCAGCGCCGGAACGCTGTGCCTGCTGTGCAGCTCGATGAGCCCATCTCATTCTGCACAACGTGTCAACTGAAACCCCACACCGGCAGTCAATACTCACCTATTTTGTTTCAATGCCATCAAATAATAAATAAATAAGTCTAAATGCCCACTACAGTTCCCACTCGGATCAAGATGAGGCTCGGGCAGAATTTGCCTGGGGTCTGACAGTCACTTAACTACAAACACTGAAGGACTGAGGCCCTCCAGACAGAGCACCCCCCGACACACCTTTAACGAAGGATGAAGGGAGGTTTTATTTCCTACCTGCTCTATGTTAACTCCATCACTCTTCTCAAAACATTTAAAATATATAAAAATGTTTTTCTGTAGGATATATATATGTGGATGTGTTTATATATGTGTATACACGTACACATCCCCCACATATATATAGCCAACAAAAATTCACTCTCATTAAATAACATTACCTCTGTTATCTGTACTTTTCTGAGTAAGAAGGTATTTATTAAAGCAATGACTCAGAAATCCAAAAAGCAGCTTTCACTTGCTGTTAGCCCCCCAAACAGTGAGTGTTTATGTCTCTGGGATTTCATCTTTATTCTTTAGTTCTAGATGGGCAAGGAAACCTGCCATGCGATGATGGGGCAACAGCTGCTGCTCCAGAGCAACAGTTGAAAAAGGGAAAAAATCTTCACCAGACAGTCATAAAGAAGAAAGATGGATAAACAGACTCTTCACGGATGCTTTGCAATATAGTTTCAGTTAGCCACTTTGGCTAACTGAAGATGGCCACTTTGGGCCAGTTTATCAGTTTTCAAATATACAAATTTCCATTGCTGATAACACTTTCTACCTTGCTACTGATTTCCTGTGGGCACAGAGTTCAAACGGTTTCCCTGTCGAGCTGTTCTTTAGACTTTTAGACAATAATATTTCTTGAATGTTTCCATCCCTATGGAAAACCTTCCAGACTTTACAGAAAACAAGTCCGAGCAACCTCAAGTACTCTTTCCACTCAGCAGGCTACACCAGCAGGTGTGGAAGGTTTATTTTCAGATTCCTGAACACAATCGATGTCCTAAACTCTCTCAGATAAGAATTTTCTCAGTATCAATGAAAACACTCTCTATATCCTTTATATTCAACTCCTGTAGTGGAATCTTACAGAGAGGAGCAGGGCATCCCTGCCAGTTTTACCACCTCTTCAGCATTCACCAGAAAGCAGGCACTTCCCAACACGTATTTGGAAGGAGAAAAAAAAAAAAGGAAAAATAAAAGGGGAGGAGACTCCTAAATCATGCAGGTTCACTAACACAACTGCATTTTAAACACTTCCAGTAACGAAATGCTGCCAGGCAAAGTTACTGAATGGCTTCTGCAAGTCATGCAGGTCATATCACAGCTAAAACCCCTGCAGTTGCCACAGCTACAGGAAGCGAGTCTGCAAATGGAAAGTCTAAGTTATGACCCAACATTCAAGCTAACAATCCATCTTTGAGCCTGGAGTTATTAAAGCAAGGCTCGCATTCGAGATGAATGTTCTTGCTGGCACCAGCCACACTGGTTATATTCACAGCAGAATCTGCAGTGCATCAGAAGGTGGCCTGACCTCTGGTTCCCATTATTTCTTTGAGAATCATTCAAACCCACACACGTCGCACTTCAAGTGTTGACAATTTCAGAGATAAAGCTAGCCTCAGTCCTCAATCTAAGATAAAAAACTGCAAAAACAGTATTTAAGGGGGAGAAGGTGTGTCACAATTATCCGCACAGGTAGAGTGACAGCCATGCTGCTACACTCAGAGGTTAAGTACTGGGAAAGAACACGGAGAGAAAAGAAGTAAAAAAAATGCAAATTCATCCTCATCTACCACTACAAGGCCACTATTCAATTCTTAGCCCTTCTAGGACTATTATAAAGTGCAAGCAGGCTAATTCATCAGAAAAGTCTGCACATTAACGTAACAGTGATAGAGGAAGCCACAGTGAAACAATGCAGTAATTGTAAGAGAAAGCAAACAGGAGCTTTTAACCACTGGAAAAACAAAATCCTGTCTCTCTTCCTAAGAAGCTCTCCTTTGTTTCACCTATACTGGAAGAATTTGTGTTTCTCACACCTATGTTTGCTACTGAAAAATGTTATTAGACAATGAAAGAAGATGCTATTCTTCATTCACTGTCTGGACAGAAGCATATACCTTGAGAAACTGTTTTCATTTGCATGGTGGGTCACATTTAACTCACAGTTTGTCACACCAGAAATTAGCAAATGCTGTAATTACACCCAAAGCAGACAAACGTGAGAAGGTCCACAGTGTGCACGACACAGTCCTTTCATTTTGCACATGAATGCTAAATGCTGGAGGCCAGTGACCACACACATTCACTGGAGTGGCCTTCCAACAGCTTGGCAGTCGGAGCAGCCCAAGGAGGCAGGAGGAAGACGTTTTCATGCAGCAGCTGCCCTAGGAGCCTCAGGGAGGACAAGATAACCGTACCTTGAGGGAAGATGCTGCCACAGCATCTAGATGTGGACTAAGAGCATGCAGAATACTTGCCATATTTTCTCTCCCTTCCTCCAAGGTGCAACAGACAAACTAATATTAATTCAAATCTGTCATCTTAGGAGCATTGACATTTTCATTGCTTTGGTGTAAGAGGTTACAAATGCATGACCAGATGCATTAATATTACTGTTTTCTTTTCATAAAGATGAAAATTCACAAAAGCGACCGTATTTCAAACCTCATAAACTAGTACGTTGTTTCTTCACTATAAAAATATCTAAACTCTTCATTTTCTCCTTTAACACAGTGAACAAAGCAACAGCTACTGCACAGTACCTCCTCGCAGCTTCTCAAAGACGAGGTAGTAACTTGCATCATCTTCAAAAAACTCTATTAGCTCCAAAATGTTCCTTTAAAAAAAGGAGTGGGGGTAGGAGAAACAATACACAGTGTAAGTAGAAAAATGGAGAGCTTCAGCATGGATAATTAGAAAGCACCAGAAATAACCAGAAATAAAAATGCTAATTAAAGAAGTTGCTTTGGTTGCCTATGGCATGAAAAATAAATAAGTATTTCCAACTGGTACTGAAATTTAAGGAATAGGAGTATGTCCAATAACAAATCCCCTGCAGACAGAGCTGCAAAAGGGTTCTGTTACTGTTCAACTGATAGGAAGATAACTGATAATACCTTGTATTCAGTAATTTGCAAGCGTATTTGTGCTGAAGGCAAGAACAAAACAATATTTAAATTGGCATTCTCTTTTCTTCTTGGAAGTTACAAAGCAAAATGTCTTGTGAACAGGCAGACATCTGTCAACAAACCTTCAGACCAGCACATTAGTTTCCGTTTTTAGCCTAACCCTGTTCAGACAGTCTGTAGGGTTTGCAGCACAACGAAGAGCACACAGGACATGACAATAATGTCAAACAAGTCAGACCCTTCTCTTCTTACAATAGACACAAAAGCTAAATTCTGCATCTAGCCACAAGAGCTGAAGATTTTAAATCAGTTACATTCTAGATGACCATATACACTTAATCACGGGCAAAACAAAGTTATCTGCTTCTCTACTATACAACTTAAGCTCATGAGTTGTTTTATAGCTTATATAAGCTTAGTTTTATATTGTCCTTGAGTACTGTACTAAAAATTTATAACAAATGCTCAATGAGATGCAGAGCTGAACAAGACAGAGCTGTAGGTTATTCCCTCTTCAGTCACAAGCAGCAGCTTTAAAGTTGCTTCATCCTGTGGCTGTGTGAATTCAGCACATCCATCCAACGAGACCTAAATTAGTTCCTGGCTGATGCAAGAGCTCCAGTGCAAAAGCAGGAAGCCTTGCACAAAGATGAGGGCAGATCACAGAGGAAGGAAAGGAGGAGCAAGACTGTCCCTTTCAGCAGTAACTGGTAATGTGGTCAGTTTTTGCTGATGGTGAAACCACAGGGGACAATCTCAAAATGTTAACTCCTTATTTGGTTGAAATCTACACGTAACTGAAGAAATTGAAACTACACTGACCTGGCAAATATTTCAGTTGTGTCACTTTTAATTTAGAAGCATTTCCTTAAATTTCACAAATACAAGCAGACAATCTTGATCTGTACAGGCTGCAAATCTAACTTTCAACTGGTATTAAGACTACTGCAAAGGTCCTAATCTAGTCAGAAAGAAGCTTCAAAACACAAGAGAGTAAAATAAACATGAGAATCTGCACTTACTTGTTACCCTGACACTGGTAGAGGGTTTCTATTTCACGAAATACCCGACTCCGACTGTGCCCAGCATTTTTTTCAATGATCTGTGGAAAGAAAGTTCATATTGAAAATTTATTGCAGGAACTGTGTACATGGCTCTGGATAACTGCAAACTAGAGCCTGAATCTCAGGCATGTCTGGTATAAAGAAAAACTCCGCCTTTGTTGGCTTAAATTCTCATCTGTCAATTATTTGTGTGCCAGCAGAGCCAACAGAAGAGCGGAAAGGAGGAGAAGAAAGGAACCAAGTCAACATGTTACCTCAGTTGACACAAGAACCATCTCTTTGGTAGCTCTTTGGCATTTTACCTGTGAGATGCAGAAAAGGAAATCCTTTCGAGTTCTTACAAAAAAATAAATTTGAGTCATAACAAACACCTAATAGTCACGATGGAAGAGATCAGTCCCTGTAAGCATTTAAGAAAATTGCACCAAATTCACTACAAAATGAGAGTTTGATTCACAGTGTAAACCTCATGGAAATCCTACTATAACACAAGTCCTATTAAAAATGACACATGGGGAATCTCAGTGCCCTTCTGCATTGCCATCAAAGTCATCTTCCTTCAGGTACTCCTCAGACTCAAAGAGGGCAAGGACAACAGATGTGCACAGAGGCTGCCCTTAAATGACATCTCTGCAAATACTACCATCTATATTCAGTATTGATTTCTTATTTTTACAGTCAGATGCTTCCCATAAATAGCAAGCAACCATCTAAATGCTAAAGAGGACTTGGTGTTTGAACACCTAACACAAAGCAGCTATTTGTTCATTCTGTATCTTCAAATTCAAAAGTTCTAAACAGAATTTACAAAACTTAAACATTCAAAGGATCAAGTTCCTTAAGAGACTTAAAACTTTGTCCCTGTATTTTTTGCAACAGAATCAAGCATAAAACTTCCCAGTACTACTACTTCTGCTTGCAGCTAATTGGGAACTCAGAATAACCATGAATCTGTAAAAGGACTCTACCACTCAATATAATGGTATTGCACAAGATTCACCTCCACTAAAAAACAGCAGAGAGTTTTCCATGAACTGCTGGCAGTAACTGGGGCTCTCTGAGCAGCTTTCTCAAAAGCTTGCATTGTATTGGTAGGCTATTGTAGATAATGACTCCTCCTCTTATTTCCTAAGGGAAGATAAAAGGAAGATAGAAACAGCTATGACTGCATTCCAGTGGGGACAGGAGAGGAAAGCAGGCCCTGAAATCTACCCACCACACTGCCATTTGCCATTTATGAATTCCATCTGTGGCAGATATCCCAGGCCATTCTGGAGGCACAATACTTAGGGTGACTGATCCATCGATGCTTATAATGCAGGCTCATTTCAAGCAGCAAGAATTTTCTAAAAGCTTTTGCTATTATCCACTCCATTATAGCTCTTCAGATCTTCATTGAGAAACGAGAGCAGGCACATTACAGACAGAAACGACATCGTTGTTATTTTACGCTTACTTTTACTGCATATTCTTTCCCAGTTTGGAGGCTCACAGCACCCTGAACTTTGGCATATGCTCCCTCACCAAGGAGCTCAGCAGTCAGCTTGTACAAGTCTGCCAAAGAAATCCAGCACAAAGGACACATTAGCCAAAATATTTCATCACATAACATCAAGACAAGCTATTTATCAGATAAGCAACCCTCACATGACAGCAACTGAAAAAATTCCCTTGGTAATGAAGATGGGAAAGAGATTTATGCAGTATCAGAGTGAAAGCATCAGCTTTAATCTGTTTCATTTTTCACCTTTTCCCCTCCTCAAGTTCTAAGCAAATTTAAAGTAGATTTCATCCTAGCAGTAAAAAGACAATTTGTTCATACAGCTATTTTATAGCTCAGTGATTGCTAGACTCTCATCACCTTCCACGTCTTCAGTTAAAACCCAGGGCTGATTCTCACATGCAAAACATTTCATTTCTCCTTGATCAGAAAACACCTACAAGATCTACTTGCAGCCAGTGTTTTAAATATAATTGAGATGTTAAGGTTTAACCTTAGTCACTACCTTGATTCACAATCTACCCCACAATGCTACTTCCCTACTAGTAAGTTTACAGTGGAACTAAATTCATTATTAAAGAAAAAGACAAACAAGGCTAAAACCCCAGAGGATGAAAAATACAGAACTATTAAATTATGACATTGGTTAAAAAACAACTGGGAAAACTGAGAGCAGCAGAAAGAAGTCAGAACAATATAATTAAGAGACTGAAAATTGCCACCAACCTTCAAACTTTCCAGGGACATGATCCGTGGCTCTGGTTCTTTTCTTCTTTTTCTTTTTCCCATTTTCTGCTATGGGGACAGGTTGACTGCTGACCATCTCTGTGTGGCAGAACATAAAGGTGTCTTTTAATGCACAAATCAATCACTTAGGAGAAAATGAACAGAGGTTCATGAGTTTAGGCTGTTGAACTATCCCAAAGACTTTCTTCAATAAAGGTGCCATCTCTCTCCATGCCAATCCTCTCCCTAGAATCAAGAGAAGGCCTAAAAATGCATTTTGAGTACTAATTAAAAGGAAAGGGGGGGGGGGGGAGAAAGTCTGATAAACAAAAATGTAAAAACAGAAGAAAAAAATATATGTGCTTATCATGACTCTTCCTCACAGAGCACACCAAGCCAAAGCACAGCAGTAACCCTGCCAAGAGTCACCATGAGCATGAACACAAAACATGTGCAGAAGTCAGGATTTTCAGCCTTCACAAGGGTGCTACGTGTAAAGCTATGCAGCTGTTCCAGAAATATTTTCAAGTCACTCTGCGTAGGAAAATATGCTCCCAAAGCAAAAGGAAATCAGGGAATTCCTCAACACAGCAAGACAGAGTAAGAGTTTTAACAGGTCGGAGGAGCAATCTAGGTCAGTTTATACCTCTAACACACTAGCCTAACATTCCTCCCAGAACCATGATGCCTCTCCCAAACTGCAGCTCAGTGGATAAATTATGCTTCACAGTAAGTACTGCTCGGGGCCTTTACATATTCTCTGCATTATATATCTGCAGATGTTAAAGGACCTTAGTCAGAGGTAACAACTCGGCAAGCTAAGCTGATAGAAAACAAAAAACAGGCACTTATTCTTAGGCAAAGTCTAACCAAAAGCAACACATCCTGCCAAGTTGGCTCTAACAGTTAAAAATTTTGGTTCAAAGTCTTTAAGGCTGTAGCAAAGCACTATAAAAACATTTTACAGCAGGGAAATTCCCAAATAAATTCACATTTAAAGAACTTGTACCACAGAAAAAAGTAAACTCCTTGGAATAGTGAAGTTATGAACATACTGGCAATGAAAAAGAGCAAGCCCTTAAAAAATCTCTAGCAATCCTATTTTAACAATCCTATTTTGATAAAGGGCCTTTTAAAGTTGCTTGGGAAGTTTGCTCTTTCTTAAATTTATTTTTTTTGTGCTTTTCACTGTTTCAAAAGTGTTCTTAAAGCAAGAAGCTCTGAGACAGAAAATATTACACAGCAACCTACCAACACATAAAACACGAGGGTGAGGAAAAAGTATTTTTCGTGTCAGTATCTGTCAGTAACAGCTATTCTGAGTGTTGCTTGGAACTCACAAGCTGTCTTAAAATCAGAGACAAGTGCTATTTTGAAAAAGATTTCACTTTAACAGCAGCTCACTAAAACATTTAAAAATGCATCTCTCAAAGCTAAAATCACCTATTCAAGATTGTAGTAAATCGTAATTATTTGAAAATGTAAGGAGAATGACTTAAGATATCATCATGATGGAAGACACATGTGACTTCTAAAACACACAGGCACATATAAAGGCATATATTTCACCGACTTCTGAAACAGTACCTTTTTTCTTTTAACCCAAACTTACACCCACACCGTTTTGAATTTTGACAAAAATGGAAGGTTGGTCTTTGACAGTAAGTCCTAAAATGCCATGAGTTCAATCTACATTAGAAGTTATTCAGCGCTGGGCATCAAAACAACAGACACGGAGCTATTTAGAGCTTCTTCAAGTCATACCTGGACAGGTTCTAGGGCATTTTAAGTATTACAGATTCAAGGCTCGTAACAGGATAAAAGTTGCACAAAAAGATGTGGGATGAATCCTGCACCTTAGCACAGATGATATATCCTCCTGCACTCTACCAGTTGACATGATATTTACAATCCAGAGTTTCATAGTTCGTTACGTTATTTCAATTCCCTTTAGTCTGAGTCAATTCCTAAATTACAGAGAACTGCCTCCTTGAAACCAGGAAGTTCACTATTCATGTATACAGAAACCAAATTACTGAAAAGCTAATCTTTCCAACCTCTGGTCTAGATCAAATTTGCTGCTGGCATGAAATATTTGCTAGATTAACTTTTTATTATCCTTCTGGTCTGCCATTTCATGCTACTGTGTTGTTCACTTCTCTAACAACAATAACAACAAAAAAAAGCTTTTCCTTTAACGGTATCACAATTTCATTCTCATTATTCACTTTGTTGTAATGAACCAGTACCAAGTTTAACTAACAATGAGACTTAGAAGAAAATGCCTTTAGTCCAGCTAAATACTTCGCAGGTTCTTCCTCCTTGACGAGCTATTCAACTTCCCAAAGAAATGGGTGGTTTTTATGACTATACAAACCAAGACAGCTTCTTTTGACACTCTAAGACAGTGACCCCCAACCACCTGTGCCATGCTGAGGTGTCTTGCATGCTGCAGGACCTCCTTTGCTGGCACAGGCACTGTGGGCACTTGGGAAACTCACCCTGCCAGATGAGAAGCTTAGAGACAGGACAAACTGCTCCAGAGGAAATGGCCCTTGGACACACCAGGCCCAAGAGAAACATCGACCTCTATCATTTAAAAGTCATTATACGACACAGGTGAACAACTCTTGAACTCCTGCTTCCACCAAACCTGCTTGTCTCTCCACCTTACAGTCCGGCTGGAGTGCAGAGGTGGGAGTACAATACTCTGCTGTTTTGTGAGCATTATGTGCAGCAGATAGTGAAACCTTTTGATAAAGAGCAGTTTTTAAATCTCTCTCAACTGTAAGAGTCAGATTGTTTTTCTAAGGGATGTTTTTTCCTAGCAGTCTGACAAAAGCTGAAGAAAAACATCAGTTCAAGTGCTTGTCTGTCCTTTTCTTACAGTGAGGACTTTTGCCCATGTCCATAGTGCAAAAGACAAAAAAAAAAAAAGAGGCAAGTTTCTGTTTTAACTACAGTCTTCTTGGAGTTCCTGCATTTTATTATCATTTTAATTCAAAGCTGAAGTAGTACAGAATACACACGTTATTCAGAGCCTTGTGTGGGCAGGTGATAGTTGCAGACAGAAGCCTTTTCTTATTGCTTATTGGGGCCTCTACATCTATTTCCAGAAGGATGAAGAGCAGCACTTAAAGACAACTCACAAATACTGAAAAATGAACAAGAACCATTACCACAAGTTTCACTACATCTCAGTCTTAAAGAAAAAAAGAAAAAAAAACTCCTTTTATCTTGCTTCCTATCTCTTTGCACACAAACATGTCAAAAGTAGCTATCCATAAGCAAACCCTTTTCATTTGAATGTTCTTTCCAAAAGCAAAACAAGGACATATTTTAATAAAAAACATAAGCACACATAATATAACCGGGAAGCACCTAGAGAACACAGTTCAGACGCCTTTTCTATCAAGAAGCAGATACCTGTTTGTGCGTTTGAGTTCAGTGGAAGAAGGCAGCTTAAGCAGAGATTTTGAGTAACTGCATCTTCTTCAGAACCAGATCTTGACTGAGCAGGGCTGTTCACTAACTGAAAAGTAGCAAAAAAAAAAAAAATCATATTTACATCCAGAAATCATATGAATGTTGTTATACACATTAAGGCAGTGCTCAGAGTCTCAAAAGGAGGTAGAACCTGTAGTACCGGGCTCCGTGTGAACACACAGGAAGAGCATGCCCCTGCATTAAAGATTTTGTAACCCAGAAATACAGAAAGCAGAAGATAACCAGTTTCTCAGAGCTCTATTCACTTTCACAGAACAGCAGCATCCCACCCCATCCCCTTACATTCTTGCAAAAACAAAAGAGGGATTTCTGGTATTACTTAGTTCTAATTGCTGCAACACTATTATATCACAATGAGTTTAAGAGTTATTCTTCATGGACAAGAAGAATCCTATTCCCACCTTACGTCAGTTGGCTACCAAGATGTCAAGCACTACAACAACAGATTAAAAAAAACCTTATCTTGCAGCTGGTCTTGATGACAGCTGAGCAAGCTCACACAGAGCAGCAGCATGAATAAGCACTTTTAACAGATGGAAATTTTCTGCTGAGAACAGGTACTACCTGCATTCACTCCTAGCAAGCCACAATTAACAGAGATCAGATAAAACCAGCTGCTACAAGAAAAGGAGAATTATGACCCTCAAATAAAACCTTCAGGGATTCACAGAGAACAGCAGCAACCCTCAGTTTGACAGGGGAAACCAACTCTTAGCTGATGTGTCAGCATGAGACATTTTGGACCACCAAGGTGGTACCTAAACCAATGCAACTACAGAAACATTAGTGTCCCACTGCAAAAGCAAAGATTTTTTTTATTTATTTATTTAGACTGAATAAAACACTGAGATCTTTGATGAGGCTTTCCTGAGGTTTGAAAACACTATTTTTGGCTAATTGAACAATAAACGTTCTGAAGACCATCTAACTTCTCTCCCTTGATTTAGACTTACTTTCAAAGCCAGGCTTTACATGTCCAACCAACTACTGACAGTCAATGACACCAGTAAGTCCCTAGGTTCCACAAGGATGACATACCCATGGCACTCGGACTTCAAATGGAAACGAGAACGGAATCCTCAAAACTTTAAGTTAAGCCACTTCAAACTTTCAGACACCCAGGACTTTAGACAAAAAGTCCTAAATGGAAACAGGCCTCAGTCTCAGCTTGCTCCCAGCTTAGGTGCTCATCAGGTACTCACATCATCCTTGGACCCTCCCTTCTTCGGGCAGCACTTTGAACTATGCAGATGAAACAGCAATCAGTCAGCAGGTGACAGTCCTGCCAAGACCTGTCAGCTACAGGAAGCCCATAAAAAGAAACTTTTGTAAAAGTGACTGCGCGATGACTAACTGTGGTTACAACATTGTAGGTCAAGATAAGCAACAGTCTAAAGAGGAAAAATGCTCCAATTCCTTAGGGTAGCCCAAAATCCAGAGGTTAATTATTTTAGCATTCATATTCTGTAGGAAATTTGAAATAAAATTGTTTAAGTGAGCATTCTTATAGGTCATTCATTTTAAGTAGTTTGCCATAATTCATTCTTATTTGTAAAAGCCGATTTCTTATCCTCTCTACCAGAGGAAATACTAGAAAGTTTCTAGTATTATTTGTCAACCTGCATGAGGCATGGAGAAGGAAGAACTTGAATATTCAGACATCTTCTCAGTAAGATGAAAGAGCATTAACATTTCAAATGAATATCCAGAAGTCCATAGGAAGCCTGGGTGATCTGACTTCACGAAAAAGCAAGTTTGAGAAAAATTCTCATTTTTGCCTTCTTTGCAAAGGCATTACTGGAACATCCAGTCATTACAGTAGTGGATACTTCCTTCTAAAATTCTTCACTCTACGCAGTGCAAAAGTTACAGCAACCACTTCCTTCCATCTGTACTTCTCTTTTGGATTCCCTCTGTCATACTTCTAGAGGATCAGAGTCACCGAGTCGTTTCCTGGGTACGCAAGGTGCAGATTCTAACACTCTGCACTCCCAGTCAGCCACTTCCCTTGCAAATGAAGCACGAGGGTTTTGAGGGCCCTGAGCTGGACCCTCCCGCAATGGGTGGATCTCACTTTGCAGTATAACAGAGTTACTTCAAATAGATTCGCACCCCAATGTATTACTTCACTCTGATGACTACTGGGGAAACAGGGAGAACATGAATACAGTGGAGAGCATTGAGCATTCCCTCCACTTCCCCCTCCTGTTGAGAGGAAATAGGGTATGTTTGCACGAATGCTTTAGATAGCAGTTCTGTTTACATACGTGCATTTCTTTACATGCATCAGCTGACATTCAGAATAACAACCAGAGAAATGTTACCTCCTCACTAGAAAGCTACAAAAGTAAACAAGTGAGCTGCCCCTGCTATGAGTTAACAGCAAGAATAACAAGCAAGACTGGAGGTTGCTTAAAAAATACCCTGTAATTTTTTTTCAATTTCTTCGTCTAGGATTAAGTGGTAATGCCCCTGAAGCAGCCACAGGACATAACAGGATGCTATATTTCACCAAACAGACAAAAATGGCAAGCCCTGCCTGGAATGATAAGGCACACACCCCGGGTAGAGCACTGAAAACCATCCTCCTTCCTTCCTTGCAAATACTGCAGTGCAGCTAAGCAAGATACTTAATACTACTGACCAAGCAATACACATTCAACAGCTTCTGCTACGCTGCAGTAGGAAATCAATTACAAAATTAAACTCCAGATTTTACCTATTTCAAAAGGAAAATATATATATATCCATGTAGTAGTACTTTGACTGAACTACTTGGAGTTTCTCTAACCCCTAGATTTGTTTTAAATTGAGAAGGCATCCAGGGCAAGTAGGTTCTGAGGGCCACTTACAGGACTGCAGGCTGCTTACCCTCTTCCACACCTGATGGCATCAAGGGCTCTCTGGGGACTCTCCCTGCATCACCAATGCGCTTCTCCAGCCCCAGCTGCCTCTCTCGCTGCTTTTCGAGTGTAAGCCAAAGAGAAAAACTTGTTAGGACAGACTGTTTCATTTAACACAGCTACAGGATAAGCATTTCCTGCTGTGACTCTCCGCAAATGATCAGATAATGACATTTCCCACCAGAAAGAGACTACACAAGGCATTTCCATATTAGTAGCCAACCTTGTTTCAAGAGGTGAATCTAAACAAGAAGCTTTAAAAGTCTGAAGCAAGACTTATTTTTATTCCTTTTTTCCCCTTCCAACTCTAATTTTAATAACCTTATCTGCTGAATTTGCAGTTTTCTGTCGTATAAAATTTGAATCTATGCTTTGACACCTTCTTATCCAGAAAGTTACTGAAACCTAAGTGCGGATTCCTCACAGTGCTAAGCACATTTCTGAGAGCACCAGGAAGTTCCCACACCACATTTACAGCAAGATAAAAGTGTCATGACTGGCAATACTCAACTTCAAGAAATGTTTAAGTGTCCAAACCTACATCACCTGGAAGCTAAGCAATCCCTCAGATCTGCAGTGGAAGATCTTCAGCTCCACAAGTGCAATTTTTCCTTATGTCCCTCCAGCACCTAAAAGGCAGAAAGAATTGCGTTCTGAGAGAGGCCAAACTATAATTTTTCAAAGATACCAGAAAAATACAGCAGTCCTTTCGAACTAGTTGCATGGCACAAGTTTGCAAAGGAAGAAAAATAGACAGATGACTTTTATGACCACATTTTATAAAATTATGAAAGGAAAACACAACAAAGTTACCAGGGGGGTTATTTTTAATCAAGCCCTTGCCACAGAGGCGCCGAGCGCCTGGGCCAGGGCAGCGGAGCCGGGCCGCGTTTCACCGGCCCGAGCCGCTCGGGCGGGACCCCGGGCAGACCCAAACGCCCACCCGGACCCGCCGGGCTGTCCGGCAGGGGCTCGTACCCTCCCCTGGCTGATTTTGTGGGAAATAAGAACCGCGAGGAGAGCTGGAACACGGCAAGCCGGCTTGCGGGCGGCCAGGCGGCACGTTCCTTCACTTTCCGGAGTCCAGCCGTCTGCTCCGTAAACCTCAGCAGGAACCACCAACCCTGAAGCGTTACAGCCCATCCACAGGCGCTCCATTAAATACATATGGGCATTATACACAGAGCGCGGCGGTTTCAGCCTCCTGGGAACAGCCACAAGGACAGAAACTCCCGTCTCCTCGGGCGACCCGTCCCGACCCTTGCCGCAGAGCCGCTTTGCCGCCGTGCCCCCGTCACCGCCGGCACCGGGGGGGGCTCCGGGGAGCGGCGGCACCGGGGGCCCCTCCCGCCCCTCCCCCCTCACCTCCATGGCGCGCGCAGGGGACCGGGGGAGATGGGGGGGGCGCTGCGACTCCGGCTCCGTGCAGTGGGGGAACGCGCATGCGCGCGGCGGCTCTTAAGCAGCGCCCGAGAGAGGGCGCGCACGCGGCGCGCATGCGCGCTAGGCGCAGCCCCCCCCCCACCTTACCGCTGGAGCCCACCGAGCGGGGCGAGCGCGCAGGCGCGGGGGGAGGGAGGTGGGTGTGGGAGGGGGCTGCGCGCAGGCGCAGTGCGGGCGCGCGCCGTTGCGGGGGGGTGTCGCTGTCACCATCCCCCTGAGGCCACCAGGGAAGGGACCTCAGGAGTCCTGGAGCGGCTGTCCCCGGCCTGGGCTGAAACCCTCTCCGAGTCACAGAACCATTATGGTTGGAAAAGACCTTCAAGGTCATCCAGTCCCACTGCTAACCCATCACAATCATGCCTGCTAAACCATGTTCTTCATGGGGCACCTGCCCATGTCCCCAAGGGGCAGGAGGGCGCAGGGATCCTGGGGGAACTACATCCCTATGGGGACCCACAGGCAGAGCCATGGGGCATGGTGGCTGTCAAGGCCATGAGTGCTCCTTCCATGTCCTTCAGCCTGCTCCTGTTTGACCATGGCAGGCACGGGGTCTTGGCTGTGGCGTCTTGGCTAAGGCCAAGTGTGCTCCTGTGCAGCAAGGCAGCCAAGACACCCATCAGTGAGACCCTCATGTTAGACCTGTGACAACCCAGACCTCAGCTAGGGACACCCACCATGATGCTGCAGACTCCAGACCTGGAGGCATCCTCGGAAACAGCCAGTTCCTCCCTAGGGGCTGAAAAACTACTGGTCAGGAGATTAATCCTCAGCCCATCCTCGCCACCAACGGCAAGAAGGTTGCTTTCCATCTTTGCACAGCTGTGTCGTCCTCCCCTTTGCTCTCTCCTCCATGACACATCCTTCAGGAGAGCATTCCTGAAGGAAGCTGCCTGACAGCCCTGCTCCAGCTGTAGCGCGGGCACAAGGTGGATTAGCACCACTTGTGCGGCACAGTCAAGCTGTGCTGAGAGCTGCTTGTGGAGTAAGGCAGTAATTAATCCAACAAAATTCAGGATAAAGCAATACCTCCTCAGAAAACACCATGGCGAGATCAAAAAAAAAAGAAAAAAAAAAAAAAAAGAAACTATCACATCTGTCTGCATGAAATATTCACCCTTGCAATGTGTCAGGACACAAGGGGGATGACAGAGAAGACTTTGTAGAAACCCTTGTATTGAGATTTTTTTGTTGTCTTAGCTTTCCCACCGAATTGAAACCACGCAGTCTGTGCCCTGCCAGCAGCATGATATTGGAAGTCCATTTCCTTGTCTGCTTTCTGTCTTTGCTCTGCTCCCTGCAAGCATTTCTATACAAGCCATTGATTTTACACAGGTTTCCAGCCTAGCCTGAGGATCCACCTACGTGCTTGCACATCTCAGCAGTGTGCCAGGTAGCAAGGGGAGAGTCTTGTGTCTCTTTGCCTTCAGAGCACTGTGGCTGAAGTGGATGCTCTTTGTCTTGTCTCCTGCTATTCAGTCAGCTAGATACCCCTTCAAGCAGATCAGACTAATCACACAAGAAAAAAAGTAAAGACAAACCAAGAGGATTAATGTAAATCTGTTTTCATTCTCGGCGTCAACCTGGATGTCCATACAGAATTGCCACTGTTTCGCTCAACTTTGTTGTCTGCTTTGTGTCTTGCCACTGCACCACCCCAAGCTGCTCCATGGGAGCTTCTGCTGAATGTGCTGGTCTACAAGTGGCCCCAGTTATTGCTTTGAACCTTAATCAAACACCTCCTGTGAGATCTGCAGGAGAAAGGAGGTGATATTTATATCGTGCCACACACCAGTCCAGTTGCAGGGAAAGGAGGTGACCTCTGCTCTCCGGTACCTGCATCAGGCTTCAGCTCAGCCATGCCGGAATTTCACTGTCTCTATCTCACGTGTGTGCTAAAATCTCTAAAGGACTTTGAGAAATCAGTGCTGGACACTTGTTTCTTCTGCAGACCGCAAACACAACAGCTTACCTGTATTCCAGCCTCGCCTGCTTAAACCTCCCTTACTTATGATAAGCCCATATCTTTCTCTGTTAGGATGCATTTTCTCGTTTTTCCATTCTTTCGACTAGTTTACCTGGCAGCCTTATTACCCACACCTATATCCTCACCTCCTCCGAGCTGCTGTCCCTTTTTGTCTTCCCAGTGGAAGATAAATCTTTTTTATCTCTGTTATCACTGTAGCTACAGAGGAGGAACAGCACTGCAGCATGGGGCAAAGACACAGCTGCTACCCGAATGTTTTGGGGCCTTTTTAAAAATGAGTGCTGTTGAATGGGGATTCTGTTTTTTTACAACTTTATCTCTTCTTCAGATTTGTTTTTTATATTGTCTGTAAAAATATTTGACTGTACGGACAATCAGGTTGTCTTGTCAGGAGAGACCCAAAGCTCCAGCTCTGCACAAACAGCCCCAGAAACAGACACACACAGAGAGAGGGAAAAAACAAGCCAAAATGCCCAAACAAATCACAGTAATAGCAAGGCTCGTGCTTTGAGGCTAGCAGATGAGCTGCTGCTTTCTGCTTTACAGAGGGAAGCTGTGATTTGCTTCTCAGGTGTTAGAACAGCTCAGGCAGAGACAGGTACTGCGGTAGATATTTCCCACCATGAGGCTGAGCGGTGGGTTCATTTGTAGAGAAATATCCCAGGAACAAAGGAGCTTTTTTCTCACCAACTCAGATTGACATTTCAAAAGGTCATACTCAGTTTGGTTGACATTTCAATCCACCATTCGTAGTAGGAAACTAAATAAAAGATGTAAACTTGGTAAATTTAGAGTCAGTGTAAAGAAGTGCGGATAAAAATCAAGTCCAACAAAACTCCTGCAAGACACTACTCCCTACCTTATTTGTAGTGTATCTTCTCCATAAGGATTTGAAACATCAGTAGAGATATTAGCATTCCTGCTAGCACATGCATGTGTGTATGTATACATTTGGCTAGAGATATCGGATAGCTAATGGGAATCTTGGAAGCAGAACCTGAATAAGCCTGGAAAAACTTGAATTCCAAGCAGTCTAATTAGCAGGACTTTAGCAGGGAGGCTTAGCCCAATTTATTCTGCATTTTGCATTTGCAAAAGCATTTTGCACTTGCACAGAGCTGGGAGCTTGCTCCTAATCTGTTAATATATTTCAGCTAAGAGATGGCAACTTCCATGAAGCAAGAGCCTGTGGAGTGGTGGGTGCCTGGAGGGCAAAGAGGTGCAGCCTGATTTGCTCCCAGAGCCTCAGAAACCACCAAGGCGGCATGCGGGGAAGACAACCTCCTTTTGTTGCACTGGCCCAAGGTTTTGGACTGTACTGCCACATACTGGGCTGCAAACCTGCTGCCAAGAGCAGCATTTTTCACACAAAGCTGTGTGAATCAGCCCTGCTGGTTTTTGCTGCGGTTAAAGCTGCTCAAAAGGAATACCAAATGCAGCTGGATTAGCAAACTGCACTTTTAACTTGTGAGCACCCAAAAGACTGTATTTTTTTCCATCTGAACATGCAGCTTGGTACGCACAAACCTGAACACCAAAAGCTCTGCAAATGTCGCAGGACAGACAGGCAGAGAAACCCCCCCCCCCCAGTTTTAGAGAGCTGCCAGTTCCTCACGGGGGTTCAAGAAAACAGCCCAAAAGGCAGAACTGTGCCTCACACAGCTGAAGCATGCAGGTCCTCGGGTGGGATGGGAAGCACTGAACATCAAGGTCCTATAGAAATGTGGTCCCATAAAAATGTCCCAGAATGAAGGAGCACTGTGTTCTTCCCTCCACGCTGGGATGGAGGAGCGTTTTGTCCTCCAAGCAGCATTTCCTAGGGACGCAGTCTTTGGAGGTGCACCATGCTCGGGTTGCTGGTGAGGTGGAGACCGTGCGGATATTTCTCCACAGCTAAGTCATCAAATGAATCCGCATGTGATGGCCCATACAGGTTAGGACTCCCACCTACTTCCCTCTCTCCTCAGTTTTCTGTCTTTGCTTGCTGACCACCTATTTCCACATTTTTATATATTTTTATTTTATATATATATATTTTATATTTTATTTTATATATTTATATTTTATATATATTTTTTATCTCTGATGGATTCAAGTGTTTTGCCTGAACATCTGACCTGTGCAGCTCTCCTAGAAGAGCAGAGCAGAGACGGGGAGAGACATTCAGACACACGCAATGCAGTTCAAACCCTCAGCATCTAGAGCTGCATCTGCTGAGAGGAGATTAGCTCAAGCATTTGTAGCCTATTTTCAAATTGAATTTATGTGGTTTTTAAT